CCGCAGCCCTGCACCAGCTGATGCTGGACTGCTGGCAGAAGGACCGCAACACCCGCCCACGCTTCACCGAGATAGTCAACACCCTTGATAAAATGTTCCGCAACCCGGCAAGCCTCAAAACTGTGGCTACCATCACCGCTGTGTGAGTCTCCCAGCACATGGGGGATGCTCTAGTGTCGACATCCCAAGCTGCGGCAAAAGGCTCCCTGAGCGGCTCATGCTGCCGGGGGGAAGGACAGGAATTCATAAATCGTTTGCCAGGCGCGGGGGGTTTCTGTCTTTGCTCTGCCTGACAGTCAGACAAAGAACATGTAGTTTTCAGTCGAGCAACAGCAATAATTCTTTGCTATCGATTCTTTATGGCATGTGACCGTATGGGCGCGGCGTCTCCTCTGCTGGCGCCTCTGTCCCTGCGGCTCCCGCAGCTGGATTACAACGTGCAGGGTTGCAAAGCGCTGCTTAACAGAGCGGTATTCCCATGGGACAGGCCTTCCTCGTGGCCTTACTTGTCTCAGGCATGTGCCAGGAGCAGGACAGTGCCAGGGGGGAGCATGAAGGTGCAGGGGGGTGCATTGGGGAACACTGCCATGCACCAGCTAGGCTCGTGCACGGCAGCCCCTCAGTGCCAGCCGGGCTTGTCCCCAGCGGTGTGTCCTGTTGCAGGCCTTCTCAGCCCCTCCTCGACCGCTCCATCCCCGACTTCACTGCCTTTACCTCAGTAGACGACTGGCTGAGCGCTGTGAAGATGAGCCAGTACAGGGACAGCTTCCTGACGGCTGGCTTCACGTCCCTGCAGCTCGTCGCCCAGATGACATCCGAGTGAGTTGGGTGCCGTGCCAGGGCTGGGTGCTGCCTGGGGTGGGTTGAGGTTGCGGGGAGGTGGGAAGGTTGGTGCAAGGAACCTGTGGAGGAAGGGTGTGGGCATCCATCACACCGGTCAGCAGAAGCGCCCTGGGTCTGGAAGTGGGAGTTCACCATCTGGAAGTCAGCATGCAGGTGTCTCCCTGCCCTTGGTCCCTCCTTGCCCCAGTGATGCTCACAGGGCTGTGCCTGGGCTCTGTGTTTGTTCTGCTGAGAGGCATGGACCAGCTGAGCTTACATCCCTCACTTCACTTAGAGATGGTAAAACAGATACACCAACCCTCAGCTGCCCATTGATATTCCTCTGTCTGTCTGTCTGTCTGTCTTCCAGAGACCTCCTGAGAATAGGGGTGACTTTGGCTGGGCACCAGAAGAAGATCCTGAACAGCATCCAGTCCATGCGAGTACAGATGAGTCAGTCTCCAACCTCGATGGCATGACGTCCCTCGTTCGATGGGGAGGGGACGGGGAGGGCACACAACGAGGGGCAGAGGTGGGAGGGGAGGAACTGACAGGTGCTGCGGGGAGAGGTACCACATTTGGAGAGGTACCGCCGCTGCCTGGGGACTGTGACCGCAGATGAAGGATGTTCCTGGGACTCATCTCTAACTGGTGACTTCCGTTCCTCACCAACAGAAGCACACTTACCAATGTCATGAGGAACGGCGTATAAATACATATAAATATGTACAAATCATATATTTAAAAAACAAACAAAAAAACAAAGATGAAAAACAATGAAGACAAACCAATGTTTGTTGGGGAAGCAAACCCAAACCCTAGAGATCAGACTGCAATCCCACCACCAGTGAGCAGTGGTCGAAACTGAGACAGAGAAAGGGGCTGTTGGGGAAGGGAGAGGCACATGGGACATGGAGTGTCCCATCCGGAGAAACCACCTTCCTTTTCTTCTTTCACCCTTCCTCCCTGCCCTGGCCCTTACTGCTCACTCCGCTACCCTCTCTGCTCATGGACTGGGTGGAAGTGTCCTCAGACGTCTCCGTAGCTCCCTGCCGTCCTACCTGGGTGCCGCTCTGGCAATGACCAAAGGACTTCGCTCACCACTGCATGGGGGATCCGACTCAATCCAGTTAATGTCTTCATATTGAAGAAGAGATGTACCTTCAATAGAAAACCTTGGGTTTTTTTTTTTCTCTTTTGCTTGCATTTTTTTTGCAAAAAGGAAAAAAAAGGATTAAAAAAATAATAATAATCCATCCTGGAAACGGAAAGAGGTGTTCCCGTGTGTGTGTGCGCTCGTGCGCGTGTGTACGTTGTCAACTTACCGTGGACTCACTGCTTGTCCCTAACCGAAGATCACTTCCGACCCTGCGGCCAGCGGCCGGCTGGTTCCCAGCCCAGGGGGCGCAGGGGGCCCGGGGTTGTGCCCACAGCCCCTGGGAGCGGGAGGTAGCAGGGAAGTGCCCAGTGGCGAAGCAAGCGCTCAGCATCCTGCAAGCCGGGAGGAGGACGCCAAGGGCTGGCCCGTGTGGCGGGGACGGGATGGGACCGGAGGAGCTGCTGCATGGTTGTGACTGGGTTGGTGACTGCTGGAGAAGGAGAGATGCTCTGGGAAACAGACTGCTAAGGCCTCCAGAGCCTCGGCGATGTGCAGAAGATGGCTATGGAGGACTTTTTTTCCCCATCTTGTGGACCTAAGGATTTTGATATTGAATTACAGACTTAGATTTCATGGCTTCAGAGGTAGGTCCATTTGTCTCATGTACCTGTCTGTCCATCCATCTGTCCTCCTCCTCTGTATTTTTCAACTCGCTTCCTTAAAGCCTCTCCCAGGCCTCTCCCAGTGAATGTTTCCCCATCTTTAATTTGATTTTTTTTTTTTTTTTTTTTTTTTTTTGTTCCACCGTTGGTCTCCCTTGCAAATCGATCTAGTTAAAATTACTAGACACGTGTCAGTGTTTACACAGAATATTGTAAGACTGGGCAATCTAACTTCCCTCTGTGGATTGCGCCGAGAGTTTATAAAATGAATGAACTCTTAATAAGGCTTTTACTTAGATGGTTGTGTGCGCGTTGTAATGATCCATCACCGTGCTCTTGCAGGCACCACGCTGGCAGCAAGCAGCACCCATGTGGCAGGGGGAGTGGCGGCATGGGCAGGCTGCCCAGCTGTGCCTCTAGGGCTGCCGGTCCCTGCTGTAATTTGGTGGCATGGTGGCTCATACATGTACGAGAAACCCTCCGTGCTACTCACGCATACATCCCCGCCGTGGGGATGCCCCACATCTGCTTGTGCCGTGGGGATGTCCCGCGTCCTCCTGCTCCATGGGGATGCCCCACATCCAGCTGTGCCATGGGGATGCCTTGTGTCTGTCTGCACTGTGGGTTTGCCCCTTGTCTCTCCTTGCCATGGGGATGCCCCACATCCATCCGCACCATGGGATTGCTCCATGTCTGTCTGCACCATGGGATTGCCCCTCGTCCCTCCATGCCACACAGATGCCTCACCAGATTTGCTTGCTGCCACCGAACACGAGGGGACGAGCCCTTCCTCTGCCTGCTGCCAGCGCCTGTCCACATGTGCTGGGTGTGAGTTTTGTTCCCTGTGCTGGGGCTGTCGGGGTTCCCTCTGGCTGGGGGCACCTCAGTGTGTCCCATGGGGAGCTCATGCTTGGTTCAGGAGGATATTTCTTTAATCATCTAAGGAAGATGGCCCACCACTCTGCTGAAGAACAGGAACTAACATCCTGAAGATGCAGGAATGAGCTTGTTTCAAATCACTGAACTCCCCCCAGAGAAAGAGGCAGAGAAAAACACCCCTTGTTTACAATAGCAGGGACTGCTCCTCATCCTGTCTGATAGACGATTGCTAATACCTCTCGGGATACTCGTGGCCCAAATCTGTATTCTAGGATGTTGTCACACCAAATACAACATGCAGATGGAGCAGGCGCCGTGCATGCTAATAAGCCGCCTCAGCACATTGATACTCACTGGCGGTGAAGGATCCTTTGTGGGCTTTTTTTATGATTTCTCTTTTATTAGAAGGAAGCTAAAGGCATTTAAAGAAACGAATGACAGCGACACAGGCTAAATATCAAAACTCCACCTTTACAACTCCCCTGTTGTGTGTCGCCCGGCTGTGCAAGCACCTGCGAGGCAGCTGGTCCTGCAGCCCTGTTCGGTGTCCTTCTCGCTCTGTGCCTGGGACTGGCAGGATGATGCAATGGCACTGCAGCCCTTTTTTAATATAAAACCTTTAATATAAAGCATTCAGTCCTGCCCATCCAGCCCAGCAGACTGGGCACCCACGAGTGGATAAACCGGCTGTCCAGGTGCTTGGATGCTCTCGGAGATGCTGAGTCCTGCTTTACATCTTGGTTCGATTTCCCAGGGTGGACGATGCTCGTTACCTTCCCCAGCCCTTGACTCGCCCATGCTACAAAACACCTGTGGACAAAGTGCCACCGCTCTCCCTGCATGTGGGAGGGTGGCTGCGGGCAGGTTTCTGGCCAGGGAGAAACTTGCGCTGTGTTCGCCAGTGTGGGAAGGAAACACATCTGGGCCCCAGGACTGTGGCCGATGGACAGGGGAGAGGCTTTCAGCTGAGAGCAGCGCAGCGTTTGCACAGCGCAGGGAACAGGAGGGTCCGTCCTGACCTCTTAAAACTTTTGGGTTGCCTTCCAAACCCTCGTTAGGCCCTGCTGATGGCTAACTCAGCCCAGGGCTCACCCGCTCTTCTTTTTGGCTGGAAAGCAAGGAAAATGGAGCTGTGCTGCGAGTCAAGTGCTGTGTCGGGGCTGGCCTCATGCAGCCTCCCTGGTGCTCCATGGGCTGGGTGAGGAGGTGATGTCTTCCAGACCAGTCTCAGCCCCAGAGAAGCTTTGTGTACCATCCTAGGCTCACCCGTGACACATGGCCGCAGTGGTGCCCATTGACAGTGCCGGGGCTGTTGCTCTCTCCACCCTGCTGCTCTTTCCCAGCTGGCCAACATCTGACGTCTCCTGGGCTGTGTCGTGGCAGGTGATTCCCATATCCCACCTCTTCTAAGCAGCCCTTGCCATGAGGGTGGCATCTCTGGCTCATGCTGGGTCAGCAGGCTGAGTCCACCAGTGGTGGCTCAGAGGCCTGGAGACGTCTCCTCCAGGGTCACACAAGAGCCCAGCAGTAGATTGACAGTGCTCAGGGCTGAGCAAGGAGACTGAAGGTGGTGCAAACAAATCCCTTCGGTGATGAGGCATAGTTGGCCTGTTGGTTGCTGTCAAGATGATACCTGAGGGAGGGCCACCACAGGCCACCTGCTCTCCTGCCTTTCAATAAAAGGCTTTTCATCCAAATGGAAGATTTTACCAAAAGCTGCCAGTTTTCTGATCTGATAATGGAAAACAAGGGGGAAAGTACAAAATAGCCATATTTGACTTTTGCTTTTTATTGAAAAAAATAACATTAAAAAAATTCAGAAGTCTTCTGTCGGACCATTTTGTTTCTTTAGAGCTCTTTCTTTCAAGGAGAATAAGTTTTCCAAACCGTGAAGCCTTTCTGTCCAGGAGTGACAGCATTATCCCTGCCTGGCCATGATAGCAGGGTTGCGTGTCCTTGGACTGGCCCTTCTTTTTCTTTGTCAGATGCCAAAGGAGGAGGCTCTCACCAGGGTAGGAGGTACAGGGCACCATTGAAGAGGTGCCTCTTAAGTCAAGGCTTGCTGCCAACCTTCATTTTTCTGCATCAACAGGAGACTACCAGGCACTTGGCCATAGCCATGTGGCTGCACTGTCCAAGTCATTTAAGAAGTCTCTTCCATCGATGATGTGATGGAGAAGCTGTCGGGATGCTCCAGCTTCGCCTTGTGTGGAGATGGGGCAGGAGCCACAGGTAGTAGTGGGACCTGGGGCAGGAGGCTCTGCCTTACAGCTACTGCTGCTTTTTTTTTGACTGAGGATTGATGCAGATTTGGGTCCATTGGATGCTTTGCTGGCACGGAGGGGCTCTGCCAAATGTGGCAAATAGTGGCAAAAATGCCAAATTTCACTCAACCAGTGAAAAAAAAGAAGAAAAATGAAACCACTAAGTGTGGTCTAAAAGTGAAAGCTCCCATTTCACGCCTTCTTCTGATCCATACTGTGGTCGGCGTTGGAGTTCCTTTCTTTGATCCCAAAGGAGAAGGGATTGCTCAAAAATTATTTTTTTCCCCCAAAGTTTTGATTTGCATGGAAATAAAAGGAAGAAAAAGGAGTTTCTGGTCGAAGTGAACCAACTCCATAGACCTTTCCTCCGGGCTGGGGTTCATCCATCATGCAAGGTCCTGGTGGGTTCATCTGCCAGGTGTTGGTGCTGGGAGGTGCCCTTCGCTGGTGGACCCCGTTGGGGCAGATCCTGGCCCCCGGCCACCGCTTGTAGATGATGCTTGGCTGTGGGGCCTTGCTCCTCTGGCTGCATCCTGCCTCTGTGCTGAGCTGTGGCATATGGATGCGGCCGGTCGCTTGGGTCGCCTTCAAGTGAGCCCACCTCGCGCTCGCCCCTGATCCTGTCCTTTCACGGAAACGCTTTGCAGTTGTCAGCTCCTTCTCTACATTTCTATGGCAACTGCAAAAACCTCAGCCTTTTTGTGTCTTTTTTAGGGGGGGGGGTTGTGTCTGTGTTGGCTTTGTCTTTTTTGCATGTAGCATTACATCAAAAAAGGGACTCTTTGCTACAAAAACCCAGCACTGAGCTTGGCCCAAGGTCTCAGTGTGAGAATCGGTGGGCGAGATGGTCACGTC